ATATTCAAAGGGCTTCAAGCACATTTAAAAAGCTGCATGCACATTTAAAGAGCTTTAAGCAAATTCAAAGAGCTTCTAAGCACATTTGAAGAGTTTCAAGCACATTTAAAGAGCTTCAAGCACATTTAAAGAGATTCGAGCACATTTAAAGAGCTTCAAAGCCCTTTTCGAGGCACCCCAAGCACTTTTGATGTGCTCTAAGCACTTTATAAATTACTTTAGGGGCTTTGTGCTTGCCAAGCACAAAGCACTTTGAGGGCTTTGTGCTTGTGAAGCACTTTTGAAAATAAAAAGGAATTTGTGCTTGAGATTGAAAGCACTTTGAGAAAGGGCTTAGGGCTTAGTGCTTCAAGCCCTTTCACTGAGGGCTTTGCCCAGCTCTGCTAGCCCCCCCGGTGAATTTTTTTAAATTTGAACATGTTCATTTTGTTCTTCGAGTTTTGCTCCGTTTTGCTCCATTATCGGCGAGTTTTGCTCCATTAATGGCGAGTTTTGCTCCATTACCAGGAGAGACCTACAGAGCTCCCAAGAATCTCTCCCAGCCCCCTCAGTGAAAATTCTGAAATTTGATCATATTCATTTTGTTCTCCGAGTCTTGCTCTATTTTGCACCATGATCAGCTCGTTTTGCTCCATGACTCGCTCCATCACGAGCCGCTTCCGGGTGCCACGCTTTGAGCGCTCAACGCTCTCGAATTAGGCCGAAGTACTCCGGCTACAATTTTACACATTCGGGCGAACAGAGTTTGGCGCTCTCAAGCTGCTCTCACTTTCCTCGCCTGTTTCCCTTGATGCACCTGTAACTGATTTTCAAACGTTCGCGTGCAAAACGCATTGAGTATAATGGGCGTGAAATGCTCCAGGTGCTTCGCACACTGCACATGAAAGCGACTCTAGAATGAACTACACAGCTACGAGGAATATCTCCTAGCAACATGGGTGAAAATTTTGGAGTTTTTATATGCGCATTTTGTTTTCCGAGCTTTGCTCCATTTTGCTCCATGATCGGCGAGTTTTGCTCCATTACTTGGAATGACCTCTAGGGTCTTTATTCTTTAAACAGGGGAGCAGCGTTTCCATGAGAAAGAGTGTTCCGCCTTTGTTGAAGTCCACAGCACAGATCCTGACGGACGACCTCTGAAGGGGAAGAGGAAGCCAATGCGACAGAACTCATAGCGACAGATTTTATGAATCTAGCAAGCCCACCAAAACGATCGAGATATACTTAATAGCCTGTTGACTAGAAAAGGACAACAAATAATGCGTAGGAGTTGTGTGTGTTCGCGGTCGCACTCCTTCGGTCCTTCAATATTTTTGCGGCGGACTATACTCATAATAGTTGTATTCCTTTCAAGAGTTTGGAACACTCGAGCTACTCGCTCCGGTGTTAGTCAACATGATTTCAAAGGGAAAGATGCGGGGTGCAACAAACACTTTTCGAAAGGAATAAGCGCGTAACGCCCCGGAGCTGTTCCGAAGCTCCTCCTAGGTGTGAAAGGAATACAACTAATGTAATATGGGAACGGCCGTCAGATAAACTCGTTCTGCTTCAAAGTGAACAAGGAACGGTTTGGAACAGAAAGAAAGAGCAAGAAAATTGGATAAAGGAAGGCCAACAACCCTCAACTAACAGGATGGCTTTTCCCCATAAAGCCTCACTTGCGCAAAATTCTCTCTTTTTTGACATTGTTCGACAATTTGACGTTTGATACACGCATAAAACGTCAAATTGTCGAAACAATGTCAAAAAAAGAGCGAATTTCGCGCAAGTGAGAATGAGGCATAAGGCGTACGTTCGCTTTTCGACTAGTCGTGACGTCACTGAATTCTTGAGGTTACATTGACGTCAAAATGACACAAATGGTGGGGAGTTTTCGCGTGAGCATGGCAGACACTTTCAGCTAGATAAGCCATTCTATTAAGAAATAGGGTTCTTGAAGGAAGGCCAAGTTTTTGAATTCACCAATTGCTTATGCGCATTTCTCTTGATGAGGAGTAACCTATCCTTGTATTGCTGCTGTCAAATGACAAGGACAGCATTACATTGGTGAAAATGCGCATATGTCATTGTGGATTTCAAAAGCTTGCCAAGCCAGTAAATCAATAAACTGAATTTTGATTTTGGAACGATTTGCAGCAAATACCATCGTCACCAAAAGTAACTGGGTACATTACTGACAGTTAAAAAAAAGATCACCGCCATAAATAGCTATTTCGGAAAAATAAAAGGCTGTCCCTATAATTTACGACGTCTGTCAAATTTGTTTACTTGAAAATAGGCGCCATCTTTGTCTCATCGATTTGCACTGTCATGTCAATATAAAATCATTCGGAACACATTTCACTGCTCCGAACATGGGCGCTCGAGCAAACGAGCTTGATTATCGGTATTTATTTATGACATAAATAACTATTTTTGCAAGCGATTCCCATTTGTAAATTCAGTGCGTACTTAGACTATTTCTGTCATTTTCTAGAAGCACGTGAAAAAAAAAGGATCGAAATTAGTTTTAACTAACAGGGCTTCTTGCGGGCTCTGTTTGTCTATTTGTACCAAAGTTACACCAGTCTGCACCAGGTGCACCAAAAAGTCAGGTTGTCTCTGTCAGACCCATACAAAAAAAAATATATAGGAATAAACCTTGGATAAACAAACACGATTGGTGTAGAAAGTGTCGGTTGGTGCCTTGTTGGTGCGAATAAACAAACAAAGCTAGTGAAACCAGGGACCACCGTTCCCTTCATAGCCATTATACTCGATGCGCTTTGCACTCAAATGCTTGAAAATCAGTTAGGTACAGGTGCATCAGGAAAAAGAGGCGAGGAAAATGAGAGCAGCTTCAGAGCGCCTGATTGCTCAAAGCGTGGCACCCGAAAGCAGCTCAGGCTCAGGTAATGGAGCAGAACTCGCCGATCATGGAGCAAAACGGAGCGAAACTCGGAGAACAGAATGAATATGATCAAACAAAATTTTAACTGGTGTAAGGGGGCTAGAAGAGATTCTTAGGAGCTCGTAGGTCATTCCAGGTAATGGAGCAAAACTTCCAAATTTTCACACGTGTTGCAAGGAGAGATTCCTGGGAGCTGTCTAGTTCATTCCAGAGCCGCTTTCGGGTGCAGTGTGCGAAGCACGAGCATTTCACGCCCATTATACTCAATGCGCTTTGCACTCGAACGCTTGAAAATCATTTAGAGGTGCTTCAGGGGAAACAGGCGAGGAAAGTGAAAGCAGCTTGAGAAACTATGTTCGCTCGAATGTGTAAAATTGGAGGCGGAGTATTTCGGACTAACTCGAAATTTCAAGTTTCAAAATTTTCACTGGGGGGCAAGAAGAGATTCTTTGGAGCTCTCTAGGTCATTCCTGGTAATGGAGCAAAACTCGCCGATAATGGAGCAAAACTCGGAGAACAGAATGGACATGTTCAAATTTTTAAAAAAATTCACCGTGGGGGGGGGCTAGGAGAGATTTTTGGGAGCTCTGTAGGTCTCTCCTGGTAATGGAGCAAAACTCGCCGATTATGGAGCAAAACTCGGATAACAAAATGAGCATGATCAAATTTCAAAATTTTCACCGGGGGGGATGGGAGAGATTCTTGGAAGCTCTGTAGGTCTCTCCTGGTAATGGAGCAAAACTCGCCGATAGTGGAGCAAAATGGAGCAAAACTCGGAGAACAAAATGAGCATGATCAATTTTCTGAATTTTCACTGGGGGGGGCTAGCGTTAATTCAGCCCCCCCCCCACATAATAGGCCACATAGTCTCTCCACTGTAATGGAGCAAAAATCGAAATTAGTGGAGCAAAATGGAGCAAAATGAGAGCAAAATTATGGGATAATTTTCATCCAGAAATTTTCTATGGGGGGGGGCTAACTTAACTGATCCGATAAAAATGATAATAATAAGGCCTGTTCGCACAGCAATCACAAACCAGTTAGAGCGAATTTCATTGGTTGGAAACAGTCAGAAACAGTCAGAAAACTAGTTTCAACCAATGAAATTCGCTCTGACTGGTTGGTGATTTCTGTGCGAACAGGCCTAATATGTTTCTTCTTGTTGAAATATCTGCTCTCGAAAATAAAATAAAAATTCAACCCTTAACAACCACACCGCACACCATGCTCTGGGTTGGTTTTTTTTGTCAAGACAAAAATATGACAAACACTCACCTGACATTCTGACATTTCTGAATTTTTGTCTAGAGCTAGGCAATGAGCTAGGGCAATCTTATTCTAAATTCCAAACAGAGGTTATTTTTCATTTTTCATTGTAAAAATTTAAAATTTTACTATGATAGGCCCCAGACTTTCTTCTTTTTTTTCCAAAAAATGTCATAATTTTCCCTTGAATAGTTTTCCAGAGAAAAAAAATAAAATGTTAGATGGTGCATTTATGTCCAATTTAATTGATTTTCATTAATTTCTAATGGGTATATTTTCCACTGGAAAAATTTGAAATTTTACTATGATACGTACCTGACTTTCCTCTTTTTTTCCAGAAAATGTCATAATTTTCTCCTGGACAGTTTTTTAGAAAAAAAATAAAATGATAAATGGTGCATTTATGTCTAATTTTATTGATTTTCATTAATTTCCAATGGGCTGTTTTTTTACTGGAAAAATTTGAAATTTTAGTATGATACGCCCCCGACTTGCGCGTTTTGTCCAGAAAATTTCATTATAGATCGATCTCTGTGTGTCTCACCAAGACAATTGGTGGTCATCTGTCTTTAGCAGAATACTAATTTGTACAAATGTACCTACTATAATTTTGTAGCGTTCTATACTATAATAGTTGATCCGCAGTTGGCAACACTGGAAACCTGTTTTCCTCATTATTGGTATGCTTTCGCCTAGGTTGTACTGACAAGAATCTAACAAGATCGAAACCAGTCTGAAACTAACATAGCGTTACTTTTGGTTATTTTTGGGATAGTTAACTTCCAGTTATGGATCACTTATAAAAAAAATCAGATGAGCTAAATGTATGTATATTTTGTTTCAGCTAATGTCACTTCGAGAACCAAAAAGACCTTGTAAAGAAATCAACCAAATGATAAGGTCCAACTCCACAACGACTTCTGTTACCAACCAAGATAAAGGTAAATTATGTTTTGTATTCAATAATAATTAGTAGTCCATTGGATTCATATAGTGGAAAAAAACAGATCCACATTCATTATAATTTTTCCTCCAAATTTTGAGCCAAATTATTTATTTTCAGGTTATTGTTCCTGTCCACCGTTCGAATGCATTTGCAGTTACCCACCACAACCGCCCCAAATGCATCAATTTCCCACCTCACCCCAATCGTACCAACCAACCGCTCACCACCAAAGCCTGGACAGTTATTGGACACAAGAACCTGCGCATGCGCAAGCCTACCCCAGTGATATAACCAACCTCGAAACAAATTCCTATGACTTTAGTAACATACCAGCCGACTTGTTCCAACCTGAAGAAATATTTCAATTGGATCAACCGATTAAACCTGATTATGTTTATGACGTCAGGATTAATGACGTTGCAAGATCACCACCTACTTTATTGGACTTGGGTAGTGGTACTATACATAGGGAAATGAAGACTGAAGATTATTGGCCGCAAAGTAATTTTTTGAGTAATGATGACTCAAACGCTAGTTCCAATGCTAGTAGATTTAATATAAGCCAAGAAGTTCCTAGTAGTAATAATAATAATAATAATAACATAGTACCTCTGGAGCAATTTTATACCAATGGTAGTCAAAAAATGGATTCTTTAGAGTATTTACAACCAAAACCATCTTCTTCTGGTACAATGTTTGAGCAAAACAATGCCCTACTAGATGTAACAGAATTTAAAACTGAATTTGATCTCAATAATGGTAACAATCCTGGCGACAAGGCAGCGACTTATTTTACGAATAGCGAAAATTACCCACAAAATTTATATCAAAACTACCAAAAAAATAGTTTGAATGTGAAACCAAATTATCAAGAATTTATTGATTTGGCCCAGTATAGCGATTATACGAATTTTCTGAACGTTTACGAAAATAAAATTAGTCATTCTAGTGATAATGGTTTTGGCGACTTGGATTTTCGGATTTCCGGAACTGGTTTCAGTGATAGCTTGCTGGATTACAGTGGCCAAAACTATGATTCTGTTACCAATCACTAGCTGGTTCCCTGTTAGTGTAAATAAATGTAAATTTTTGTTTGTAAAGAGTCAATCAGGATTTTGATAAAATAAGTGTTTATTTCAACAATAAAATCAGCAGTATGGAGCCAAAATTAACTTTTTCTTGTTGAAGTAAACCCTAGATCTCAATAAAATAATTACAAGATTCTTGATCTTTTAGTGCCTTATGGAGTAGGATAGGTATTTTCCAAAAAATTATGGTTGTTTTTTTGTGTAGATGTAGTAGTGTGAGCTACTGAAATTATCTTATACTATTGTTTATACTATGTATATAAAGACTATGTGATTTTCGAATTTCTGTTTTATTTCTGAGTAATTAGTTTAATAAAGTAAAACGACTCTGTAACGATATACACGAGGATATACATATTATAAGGTATTTCATCATGTTCAACCGTAATCATCGAATCGAACACCTCGGATATGCTTTTTCCCCTCGGTGACCGGATATACCAGAATCATGTATTTTTAACCAACTAATAAATTGAGATTTGAGGGCCGGTATTTCAGTGTTACCTTAAACTGAAGACTTACGTAGGTAGGGTACCCTCAACGTTAAGGTGAACTTGAAACTCGATTTGAAATCAGTTCATTCAGGTGGCTCAAGGAAACTTTGATATATGGTGAACCTTATATTAAGGATAACTTAACGTTATTCTGTACCTTAAGGTGACATTGAAATACCAGCCCTTAGGTTCACTTATCACCATTGCCCAAGGATGATACACACCACTACTATGATGGCTTATCCTCATAAGGCCTGTGTGTAACAAATCCCCCCCTACCCCGTCCAGCCAAACAACCAGTTATGACGTAAGCAGCATGCCATTTTTCGCCTTGACGTAGGCTATTTAAACCAGGGATGTGCCGTGGACTATAAAATCTACTTTACGCGGTTTGTCTACTCGTTGTCTACGTATTGTTTCCATCCACTTTTTCCCATGTAGACTAAAGTCCGTCGATTTTAATCTGATACTCTAAAAAAATGTGAGCTGGTGGATCCCTATGTTAAAACGTCAATGGTTACCTGACGTTACACCTGTTTTTATGTGGTTTTTGCCATGTGCTTCACCCCCTCGCTCCTCATACGGAAAGTGTCAGATAAAAAACGACGACCAATATGATGTAAACTATGTAGACAACAGAAAATTTGAAATATGAGTAATTTTTTTGAAGTTTGCATTACATTAAATTTATATTGTTTTAAATTAGACATTTATCTACAGTTTAATTAACTTTACAAAGCAAAAACAAAACAAAGCAAAAACAGAAACATAACCTTATAGGCCTGCCAACTGTCAAAAATTGTATACTTTACACGTTTGTCTTCATATTTTACACGTTGTCTACATAGTTTACATTGTCTACGCGTTGTTTACACCAGACGTAGACAATCTTTATTTACGCGTAGATGCCCATCCCTGATTTAAATAGCTGACGACTTAGTTATGACGTCGCAATGGTTGAAAACCAATATGGCGCCGATTACCAAAAACGAGGCCGATAAGCATCTGAGCACTCCTTAGAGTGTGTATTCTCCTTGACCATTGCCGACGTCATAACTAAGTCGTCAACTGTTTAGACAGCCTACGTCAAGGCAAGAAATAATATGCTGTCTACGTCCCAACTGGTATTTTGGTGCGGGGGGAAAGAGGGGGATTTGTAACACACAGGCCTTATGAGGATAAGCCATCCTGTACTAGTAGTATGTATCATCTTTGAGAAATACCAATGTACGATAAATAAAATGTCCTCTGTCCACTCTTCCTTTATTATCGCATCTGTTAAAAAGAGATAGATATAAGAATGGAAGGTGTTGTCAGAATTGTCAGATAGTTTCAAGCTATGCTAGCGACATCCAAGGAGAATACACACTCTTAAGGAGTGCTTATCGGCCTCGTGTTTGGTAATCGCCGCCATATTGGTTTGTCACCATTGCCGACGTCATAACTAAGTCGTCAGCTGTTTAAACAGCCTGCGTGAAGGCGGGAAATAACATGCTGCCTACGTGACAACTGGTATTTAGGCAGGGCGGGGAAGGGGAGGATTTGTTACACACAAGCCTTATGAGAATAGGCTATCCTGTGGTAGTGTGTATCATCCTTGAGCGGCATCATGTGCTACAAGAAATACGTTGCCACTTCGCGCATATGAATCGGTAACTCTTACCTTGGTTTATTTTAGGTCTGTTTCTGCAGAAATAACGAATCAGTCAGAGTGAATTTCATTGGTTGAAACTAGTTTTCTAACTGTTTTCAACCAATCAAATTCGCTCTGACTGGTTTGTGATTTCTGCAGAAACAGACCTTATATTTCTCTTAGTTGATACATTTTTGACCGACCAAAGTGGGTTACCAAAATGTGGTGAAATCGTCTTTGATGTGTTACCATTTCCGACGTTATATAACTAAAACCGAATTTTCGCGACGAATGTAGTTCATCCAAGGACGAACCATAATTCGTCGGTGACGTCATGAGTTTAAACGCTGGCTAGAGGCTGCATCCATGCTTCCGTCGAACTACGTTCAATATGACGTCACGAGTTTCTCGCGAAAGCGTTTGTGTTCATGAAATCATGGAAGTAGTTTGTCGCGAAAATTCGGTTTAAGTCGTCAGCTGTTTAAACAGCCTACGTCAAGGCAAGAAATAACATGCTGCTTACGTCACAACTGGTAATTTGGAGTGGGGGAGGATTTGTTCCACACAGGCCTTATGAGGATAGGCCATCCTGTAGTAGTAGTGTGTATAATCCTTGCTTATATAGAGCTGTTTTCAGTATAATGTTGACATAATTAGGTGATTTTTGTTACATGACAATAAAAAACAAAATTTAACTGGCTATTAGAACTGTCAAAAAAAATTCCACACAATTTCCACAACAATTTTCATCATAAATTTAAACTCTAAACCAGGGACCCGGACCGGATCGATATTGGACCGAAAACCGGAACGAAACCATTTTTTTTTTGCGGACCGGAACCGGAACCAAACCCATATTTCATAGAAATGTTGTAGGGCAGGCAGAACCGGAACCGATATAAATTAATCGGTTATTACCGGTATTTTTCGGTTCCAAGATTTTATAAATTAAGCTGTTTGCTGTTTGGTTGTATCATAAAAAAATTACCACTTTAAAAAACAGAGCATTGGATACCTATTGGACAGCGCACATTAACAACACACCAAGGATTTTACATACTACTGATTGCTCATCGGCTTCGATTTTTGGAATAGAGTTCATATGTTGTTAAACCGTTGCCGACGTCATCAACGGTCTCGTTAGCGGTTTGCGTTCGTAGTTAAGAATATACATGTCTGATGAAAAATATAATTTAAATTTGTATAACATAATAGTCGATAGACAAGAGGAAGATGCAAATGAGATCTAAACAAGGGTTGTTTTAGAATATTAAATAATGTACTATGGTTCTAAACCGTTTCGAAATACAATCCAATCCACGTTTTAAAACCATTTCCTCGTGCCAAGAAATTATGACGTCATTGTGAAACTGATTTAAACCAGTTTTGGAAAATGTTTCAAAACTTTAAGACGCGAGAAAACACCTCCTAATCTGTGGTGCAACTGGTGCAAGCACTACGTCAAGACGAGAAACGACACGCTGTTACGTCATCACTGATCGAAAACACAAAAATTTATTTTATTAATAGTAAATTATCATGATTATTAAAGTTGTTGCAGATAGGCAGAGAAATCCAAAAAAAATAAACCTCAAATTATAGGAACATAAATTTTTCTGTAATGATTGTTTTAAGGGATGCTTAATTGATGCTGAAATGGTCAGTGCAAATGGCCGTTAGATATTTGTGAAAAACTATACCAGTATGAACCGTTAAAACCGAAATTATTGGTCCGAACGGAATTGAAATATTTCTCTTAGAACCGAAACCGTAACGGAACCGATATTCGTCATAACGCTGTGGCCCGGAACCAGAACGGAACCGATATTTCATTTCGGTCCAGGTCCCTACCAACTGGTAATCAAATAACGTTTACTTCATTGCTTATCTGTCAAAGTGTAACCGATCGGTTAAACGCTTGAAATCCTCTATAGTCAAAAAAGAGCAAATTTCGCTGGTATGAGTACTAGGCTTCAGACAGAAAATTTTAAATATACCTATTCACTTATATATTTTCAATTTTCATCAAACTAGCAATCAATGAGCATTTTCAAGTTATGACGTAGTAAATCAGAAATTCCTAGTTGTGACGTCAGAACTATGAACTAAGAACTCCGAAGAGAGATTGCACGACGGGGCTCCCGTAGTCACCAGACATTACGGAACGTGTAAAGCTACATCCTCAATCAATCTGGTACCGAAGTGGCACTTCGGCACGCGTGCTGGGAAATTGATACCCATCCACAATGCTGTCAATTTTCAGTCTGCTGTGCGTGTAGTAGGTCACGAACCGTGCGTTCAGTATTTCGATCTGAGTTCTCTGAGCATACATTTATCGTTCGTTTATTTAAAAAGTGTACTCGGTGCAGGCTCATTCATGTTCGATTATTGAAATTTTGAGCCTTCTGAGTTCTGATACAGCGTTCAACTGCTCTGTGCGCTCGCTGGTCACGTGATTACAGCTCCGCTCTGCATTTCGAGCAAAATACTGAACGCAAGGATAACCTCTGAATTATGTTTTACCGTACTACGCATGACTAAAGCTGGGTTCGGGATGGCCAAGCGGAGCTCGAGTAGAGTTGGAGTGGCGTTTTTATCACGTGACCAAAAAGCTTTTGGAGTGTATCAGTAAAACCGAACGGCCAAGGTGCATTTGGAGTTTCTTAACTTTATTCCACAAATGACAAGTATTATTTTAAAAACAACAAACGTTTTTCGAGTCTTTTCTATGAATTTTTGGTATTTGGTGCCTATATTTGATTTTGTTGAAGACGTTTATTTCGGCGACTTGTCTGAAGAAGTCATCAAGATCATCATTGGAAATTTCAGTGAAATTACGCGTTGCTTGCATGTCAAATACGCAGTTTAAAATCCATTCCATTCATTTACCAGGTAATTACAGATTAAATATTGATTTGTTGACTGTCGATTAGTCGAATAGTCGATTGTCGCAATCAAAAAAATAGGATAAATGACACATCACGAAAACGCACACAGTGCGCATGCCCGCTCCGGCGCTTGCTGATGACGAGGTGGTGCTTTCAGAGTCAGCTCTTTTGACTCCCGCACGTCCTTCCCGAACGCATGTGGAGTTACTCTTTAAACTCAAAATGACAATACCCGAACGCATCGGGAGTGTTTATTGCAGTTGGAGTTTATAGAACAGTCATCCCGAACCCACCTTATTCGGCACGCATCGAAAAAGCTTAGAGCTTGCAAGCTTGCACTTCAGAGTCGGCGTGCATGCTAACACGGAATTGAATTGAGAATGCCAACGTTAAACACCAATATCCTAGCATGCGTGCCGAAGTGCCACTTCGTTACCAGGGGGGCATTATTTGAAATTGATGCAGCTTTGCGTACACGCAAATGACGTCATTCGCGATTGAAAATTGGTGCACGGCTTATTTGACATGCACTTTTTCAATCGCAGCTGACGTCATGGGCCTTAAGCGTAACCAAGGTTGGAAACGGAACCCAGCCTTTTTTTCGATTTTCGACTCGACATTTTGACATGACATTCGGTGATCAAAACCAAGGATTTTTATCATTTGGATTTGAAAAGTTTGAAAAATTTCCATATTCAATTTAATTAAATAATAAACATGGTATTCACGAGCGCAATTAATCTGATCCGTGCTAAAGGTCCCGACGAATTTTGGAGAAAAAGGCGAATTTTCAAACTTGCAGCAGTACGTTCCCAAACCTTATTTTATTATCACGTTTCCAAAATTTCTATTTTTATTCCATTTAGCTGAAGTTAACTATCTTTTTTTAATTCCTTTTGTAGCACTTTGTCGGACGAAAACGTAACTGTTACAGCATTGCTGTGCGATATGTTCACAGGGCCCTGGCCTATGCAACAAAGGGACGGAAACTTAAAAAAATGGACATGAGAAGTGTAAGTACTGTTATCTAAATTTCTATACCTAGATTATGTGTTAATTGTTTCAGCTCTGGGAGACCAGAGTAACAGCTGGATGTAACCAACACAATATGGAATACGGTACTTTCAGAGAATCATTAGTTCGCTCAGATATTCTACTCAACAGGAAAACTTTAGCCGACTTGGCTATTTGGGAACCTCACACCTTCAAATCCCTCACAGATATTGCTAAAAGAAGAGCTATCGATGATGGATTAGTTTGTTTGAATAATAAGGAAGAACCAGTTGATAGGATTATAACTAGGGGAACTCTTGCAAATAAGTCATAGAGATTTGCATTTTTCATAAAAAGTCTACGACTCCCAAATGCTTGTTAAAATCATTTGAATCCCATAAGGCATAAGGCTGAAAATATATTCGTGAATACATGTGCAAGACTCAAATAAATTCATAAATCAATTCAAAGACTGGTATAAGTATTGCCAATACTAACTGAAAATCACATTTTTAAGGTGACTTCTCAAAATCAGGAGGCGGATTACGAACTCTCGATTCGAACTGAAACCGCCATGTTACACCAAAATTTTGATTTTGAACGCACTCCATGCGAATGCATTTCGACGAAAGTCACTCGACTGGTTGATGTCTGTCGAAAAGCTATCGAAACGAAATCGAGTCCAATAAAGTTAAGTTATGTTGGATTTTTGGGGGCCAAAATTCGTTTGATTCTTTATTTTGTTTTGACGTTTTGTAGTATTTTGAACTTTGAACAGAAAAATCGCTGAAAAAAATTGTCTTAAAATTAATGATCGCCATTGGCAGGTTTTATTATCTTTTATAGATAAACATTCTCTATTTGCTAGAGGTCAATTTGCAGGGCCCAACGGCAAAGTCATTCAAAGGAAACTCTGGAACAGCTTACAGAAAATAAAGAATCTGTGGGTAATTGTAGATGAGGTCGTACCAAGTCAATAAGGTTCTGGACCAAGACTTTGCTAAGTCTAAATAGTTCAATAAACCTTGCCTCTGGGTCTTTTTTCTTGAAACAGGGGAGCAGAGTTCCCAAGAGAACGAGTGTTCCGTCTTTGTACCTACTTATGTCGTTATCATTTGCATATCATTGAAAAAGACGGAACACTCGTTCTTCTGGGAACGCTACTCCCTGTTTCAAGAATAAGGACCCTGGATGTAAAAAGGAATCATAACTTTCTCTGATTTCTCTTCTCATATGAATTAATGCACGATTTTCTCGTCTTCTTGCATCATTTTGCCTTCGCCGCCTTATGACTCTGATTATGGTAAACATATTACTTTTTCCTTTTATAAAAATTTTTAAACACTTTGAAATTGCGAAATTAATCTTTAAAGAACACAAATAACCACAACACAACAATAAAAAATTAGAATTAGTATTAAGTCAATGTCAAAAAATTGACAAAATTTGGTAAATTTGAGCGAAAGGCGTCACAAATCTCCGAACTCACACGAACACAAAACGAAACTTGTACCTAATCATCTCTGACGTTTCGAGCACAATCGATGCGTATTCACTTTCGTATCGAGTGTCCATTTCGAGTCGTTTTTTCGTAATCCCCCTGCAGGAAAATACCACCTATAATAAAATAACATTGTAATGATATTTTCACATTTTTATGAGGACCTATACATAAATATTTTAGCTACATATTTACATACCATGGGAGGGAAATACCTAGTTAGTGCTTTTCCTCCTGCAGAGTTTGGCATTAATATCCAAGAGAGGAAAAGTCAAAGTCAACTATAATCACGAGACAGGAATGAAACTTCCTACTGAGGTTTGCATACTTTTTTATTTACAAGAATTACAATCATCGAGAGGAAAAGAAACATTTTCCTTCCTCGTTTAGGGGTCGAAAAGGATGTTTTCTAGTAAGGAAGTAGAAAAATTTATTATAGGCAGTATTTTTATAATTTTGGGCAGTCACCTTGAAAATGTGAATTTCAATTGGTATTGTCAATACTAAACAAGTCCTAAACTTGAAAATGTAATTGGGATTACATTGTTTTTTTGCAGAGTTCTGACAATGCTTTTCAGTTAGTTGCTGTTTTTAAAATGTTACAAAGTTTGGGATTCTTGATACTTTTATTTTATTAAAGTGTATTTTTGTTGATAAATAAATATAAAGTAGAAAAAAAAAATTGCAACTTGCACAAGCACAACTACTTCTGGGGAAAAAAATGTTAAGACAAAATATATTTGTATAAAAGTTTATTATTCTACTCTAGTATACTTCCATTATTGATCAAATTTTGCCTATCAATAAGACCTAAAGCTACACAGCAAGCTAGGGCAGCTCCTTGTTCAGCAAATCTTTTATTTTTTTCCCTTAAAATAAATATATTGTTAAAAAAAATGGAAGTACTAGGTGTCCAAATAAGAAAGGACGCCGACTATATCTCAAGAACTATTAGTCCTAGAGCTTCCCACTAATTTTTTTTTTCATAAAATAGGCCATGAAAAATTGCTGGAAATAGTTTTCAAGTTTGTAAGTTGACCGCTAGGGGACGCAACAAACACTCGAAAACATAATACTGTGATTATCTTCAAAAAACGCCCACTTAAGGTATCCTAAAAATATGATTATTGAAATCTTGATGTAATTATGAAAAAAATTTGTTAAGGATTTTTTGCCCTAACTCTTCAAATAAGTGGTGGGGGAAGGTTCAAACTTGTTGGGAACAAAAGTTATATAACTTTTTTGTTTTTCAACCGATTTCAATGAATCGGGTGTCATTTGGAAGAGTTTTTTTCTGTTTAATGAAATGCATAATAAAAATAACAAAATTAAATTGTTTTGTTGCCGCTAGGGGGGCGCTGTGTTTAAAAGTCGACAATTTTCCATTTTTTCTCGGAAATTTCAAATATAATAATGCTTTTTTTATAATTTAGATGGAAAGAAGATGAAAAAATAAGGGATCTGGTGAAAACCGCAAGTCTGAATCTTTATCCTAACCCAAAATATAAATAAACAAATATTTTCAGTAAGAACATTTTCAGACAAAAACCTTCTTGCCTTCCTCTTCAGGATAAAACAAAAAAAAAATCTTATTTTTTTACAGCACTTTAAAATCAGTGAGAAGAAGAACTAATTGTTGAACTCTAGTTATTTACATTCCAAGCTGCAAAAGCGCACTTTTAGGTGCAAGGTGTATTTGATACCTCTGAACACCTAAATAATGATTAACATTCCAAGCTGCGAAAGAGTACTTTTAGGTGCGTATATTCAAATAGCCGAAGCGAAGCGCAGCCTCGGCTTTTTGAACACCTCCGATCACCTAAAAGGGCTTTTGCAGCGTGTAATGTATCAAACTTTTCATTGTTCTCCTCAGGAAAACATTTTTTTATCTTGAATAGGCAAGCGAACGCGAAAGTCAAACAAGCTAGTCATTACTTTCACTTTCGCTTGTCTATTCAAGATAAAAAAACATTCGAAAATGTCATTTCAGTTTTGTTTACTTTAAAGCAGGCCAAAAGTGACTTCCTGTCACTTTCAGCCTGGAGAACTCACTTACGGCCCTGATAAATTGTTCTTTCTCGTGTTCTCACCGTAACACAAATTCAGGTGCAATGTTATCAGTAGTAGATATCATATGTGTTCATATTGTTGAAATTTCATAAGATGTCAATGTCGGTGTCAGACTCTCGAGAATTGATTGACCTCGGTCAACCATATGTCTCTCGGCAATAATGAAACACTTTCCACCTCCGCATGTAATATACTATTATTTATAATCATACATTCAAAAAAAAATCAAAATTCTTTTATTGATGCCAAATACAAAAATAGTATTTACATAAGTCAAAAAGTAGAGTTATACATATTGTCAACTACTTAAGTAAATACCACTCTGTACATCAATTTTACTAAAGTGTGTCGACAAGTCAGCATTTATTTGGTATAAATACAGCGACAAAATCCATTACCGGCAAACTAAAGCTAGTGCGAACTACCTCTAATGGGAAAAGCCCCTCTAGCTAAGTCTCCTCCCAGTGCAATCTACCTTTAATGGGAAACGCCCCTCTGAGAGTATTGAACCCCGCAGACTAGGTCCAGTGCAAACTACCTTTAATGGGAAACGCCCTTCTGGACCTGTCTCAAACCTAGTTTCAGTCTTCAGTCACGCTATGTGTACAGACGGTACATAATTAATACAGAGTGGCCCATAAGTAGTACATCCCTCCTTAGAAGAGACGTCATGATACCATTTCTAGGGTAATACTATTATTAATCAATACACATATTATACCAATACCAAGCGAGTTTCTCTCTACCTGAACCCTACATACGCACCCAAGTCACGTTCCTGTTGTGACGTCCCAGGACGAAAAGTATAGGGGTTGTGACAATATTAAAAAAATACGGCTACAAATAGGTGTATATGAAACAACAAAGGCAGTGTTGTCAACTATGTACTATCAAAGGTCATTATAGTACGCCTAAAATACTATAATTATAATAGTTGAAGCGCTCGGGGCAACAAAGTGCATAAGCCACATTGGAACATTATTGAGGAAAACGACTTGGAAAATTCTAGTCAAATCTGTAAATCGGGTTTGTTTTGCAAAATTGTGATTTTTGGGTCATAGGGTTTCAGTGAGTTGAGTTCTTCCCCGTAAATAAAACAAAATACAAAAAAGTTAATTTTTTTCGAATTTATTGGATTTTTTTTTGCTAAAGTGTGGCATGTGCCTTTCTTATATCAAAATAAAACAACATTTTCTAGATTTCACTAAACTAAAAAAATTAAATAAGTAGCTCTTAGCTCAACATAAATCTTATAAATTCTTTGGTTACAATAAAAAAATACTAGTACAGGTAATAAATATTAAGCAGCTTTCCGCTAGTCTTCTCCATCCACATCTTCCGCAATATTTTGATCTTCAGTTTCGTCAATGTGCTCTCCAGCACACTGCTCGAAAATAGTAACATAAAAGTTTTGATTGATAGGTGGTATGTATCGCAAAAGTTTTTTTAAGTCTTCAACTTTCTTGCTGTTCAGTTTTACAGGTTCATTGTATTTGCAGTCTAAGTTGTCAAGAATATCGTCTGACTGAAGAACTAACCTATTTCCACGCTTTCCAACATTAACTTTTTTTAAATTTCCATTTAGTTCATGTTTTATAAACATCGTATTGGGTTCACCCGATTCAAATCGGAAGCAGCGTGCTTTTGTGAAATTTACAGGCTCTTTATCTTCAGTTATGTTTTTTTTCACCATAGGAACTTTTTGAAACGATAAGAAATCTTTCTGTTCCATAACAATAACTTCGAATGGATTGGCTCTTTTACTTTTTCTAACGGCTTCGTACCAGTCCTCTGGGCAATAAATTTGTCTCAAATACCTCTTGTGTTTTTCAATTTGGGCGAAATCCCTATCGCAAGGCAAATAGGTATGTCCTGATACCAAAAACCTATGTTCAATACTTTTGAATTTTTTTTCCCTGACAAGTTGTAGCCATAGTGCCATAATTAGCCAGTTTTTGTTCTGGCCTCCACAGTTATCAGTGAAAACAACAAGTTCCCATTGTTCATTTGTTTCTCTAGATGAGAGATACTTCAATAAAATACTTGCTATTTCCTCACTTCCTCTCTTGGCTGTAGCCTCTGTCCACATAAACATGCTTGCTTGTCCAGATATGCAATCGTGAATACCAAGGTTGTAAGTCCAAGCTTTACGCAAGTAGAATGCTGGACCAACTGTAAGACTAGGTGTTGGAAGAGTTTGCTGCAAGTCAAATGCAATAACTAATACTTTTCTATTGGTTTGTTTAACTGATTTTACTTCCTCTTTCATATTATTTGACATGGCTTCTGCTCTCCTATGATGTAACTCAAGCTCAAGTTTCAGTCTGTTAAGGTCTTCTTCATTCTTGTTCGCAGTTGCTGTTTGAATAGCAATTTTCATTGAATCACATGTTAGACACGTATCGCTTTTCGGCAATTTGAAGCCTATGTTATATTCATTGCAAAATATTCTTCGATACTTGTCTTCTTTGACTGGGGTAATATTTTTTTCCCTACACCAGTCAATATAAAAATCCTTGTAAAGTCCAGAGATACTAATGTCATGGTCAAGGTAAACTCTGCTTGGATTTTTCTTTCTGCTATAATGGCTGACATATTTTGGGAACGCGCGTATATGGTCATGAACGGACTGTACTTGTTCAAGTGGTGTTCTATTTGGCCGATTGCTGTGTTTTCCTCTCTTGTCATCTTGTGGAACACTTCGCCCGTCTGACATCTGATTGCAAATAAGCCTAACGCGCTTAGAAGACTTTTGCAGACCATGACTGGCTAAAAATTCTTGCTTGCACAGCTGTATGTCAATTCCATTTACTTTGACAAAATATTGATAAGTGACTTTTCGAGACGATTCTCTTCTTTTTATTTTCTTTTTATAGGAACGCTTCTTTGGTACAGCTTTTATGGATCCGAACAGGTAAGTGTTTTGGGCCTTGTAGGTACCTAAGTTCCAAAATGAATTGAAAATGTCAGTTTCTTTTCCCAGGAGTCGCTCTCTACACTTCTTCTTGCAGTTACAAGACGGGCCAATTTTCCTATCCAAAACCGTTTTTCCCCTACTACTTTCATACTTGCATCCAAGATTTCGTTTGATTTGGCGCTTTTTTTTCTCCCTCCGTTCTATATTCGTCTTCCGCCATCGAGAAGGATTGCTTTTATCCGGCGTTACCAGAACACCTCGTGATGTTCCAGCTTGTTGTGTTACGTTTTGGACTGGTTCCTCAAAATTTTCATCTGACGACTCTTCTCCAGAGATCTGCAAGAAAATAATGTTTGTTCTAATTTTGGAACCAAAAGGGTCATAAGCCACAATTAAACTCAAAAAGGTCTTAAGCCGCAAAGAGAAATATCCGAAATTTTTCTGGTAAAAATAAATAAATCCCGCAATTTAATAACAAAAATTTAATTAATCAACACTATTTTATCATTTAAGCCCATCTGGAAAACAAATTTTATGAATAAACATTAAAAAAAAAATAGTATTGTTTTTAAGTAGATAATGGCACATGCCCTCCAAAAAATAAACCAAAAAAGTCATAAGCCACAATTTTGTTTACTTACGGATTGTTCAGATTCAAATGGAGATTCAGATCCACTAACAGTTGGACGATAATCTCTATCTGCTATACTATCGTCAGCACTGAAATCACTTTCATTATCACTACTGCTTATATCACTTTCAGATGCATTTCTCTTGAGAGGCCCATGCGGTCCGTCCGCCATGTTGTGGCTTGTGTCGTTGTTGATTGCAAATAACTACATTATTCGGCGTAGGAAACAAAGACTTTTAGGTATAGTGCTGCCATCTATTGATGTTTCTTAAAAATATTTCACAAGTGGCTTGTGACCTTCTTGTAGAATGGAAAAATGAAGTAATCCTAATTATCTGTAATATGTGGCTTATGTCCCTTGTTGCCCCGAGCGCTTCAGTTGATTTTCATTAATTTCCAATGGTGTTATTTTCCACTGAAACAATTTGAAATTTTACTATGATACGCCCCTGATTTTCTTCTTTTTTTTCCAAAAAATGTCATAATTTTTCCCTGGATAGTTTTCCAAAAAAAAAAAAAAAAATGTAAGATGGTGCATTTATGCCTAATTTAGTTGATTTTCAATAATTTCCAATGGGGTTATTTTCCGCTGGAAAAATTTGTAATTTCACTATGATACGCCCCTAACTTTCCTTTTTTTTCCAGAAAATGTCATAATTTTTCCCTGAATAGTTTTCCAGAAAAAAAAAGTGTTAGATGATGCAATTATGCCTAATTTAATCGATTTTCAATAATTTCCAATGGTGTTATTTTTCACTGGAAAAACTTAAAATTTTACAATGATACGCCCCTGACTTTCCTCTTTTTTTCCAGAAAATGTCATAATTTTCCCATGAATATTTTTTTCAGAAAAAAAATAAAATGTTAGATGGTGCATTTAGGTCTAATTTAGTTGATTTTCATTAATTTCTAATGGGGTTATTTTCTACTAGAAAAATTTGAAATTTTAGTATGATACGCCCCTGACTTTTCTATTTTTTTCCAGAAAATTTTATAATTTTCCCCTGGATAGTTTTCCACAAAAAAAATAAAATGTTAGATGGTGCACTTATGCCTAATTTAGTTGATTTTCAATAATTTCCAATGGGGTTATTTTCTACTGGAAAAATTTGAAATTTCACTATGATACGCCCCTGACTTTCTTCTTTTTTTTCCAAAAAATGTCATAATTTTCCCCTGAATAGTTTTCCAGAAAAAAAAATAAAATTTTAGATGGTACATTTATGTCTAATTTAGTTGATTTTAAATAATTTCCAATGGGGTTATTTTCTACTGGAAAAATTCGAAATTTCACTATAATACGCCCCTGACTTTCTTCTTTTTTTCCAAAAAATGTCATAATTTTCCCCTGAATAGTTTTCCAAAAAAAAATGTAAGATGGTGCATTTATGCCTAATTTAGTTGATTTTCAATAATTTCCAATGGGGTTATTTTCCGCTGGAAAAATTTGTAATTTCACTATGATACGCCCCTAACTTTCCTTTTTTTTCCAGAAAATGTCATAATTTTTCCCTGAATAGTTTTCCAGAAAAAAAAAGTGTTAGATGATGCAATTATGCCTAATTTAATCGATTTTCAATAATTTCCAATGGTGTTATTTTTCACTGGAAAAACTTAAAATTTTACAATGATACGCCCCTGACTTTCCTCTTTTTTTCCAGAAAATGTCATAATTTTCCCATGAATATTTTTTTCAGAAAAAAAATAAAATGTTAGATGGTGCATTTAGGTCTAATTTAGTTGATTTTCATTAATTTCTAATGGGGTTATTTTCTACTAGAAAAATTTGAAATTTTAGTATGATACGCCCCTGACTTTTCTATTTTTTTCCAGAAAATTTTATAATTTTCCCCTGGATAGTTTTCCACAAAAAAAATAAAATGTTAGATGGTGCACTTATGCCTAATTTAGTTGATTTTCAATAATTTCCAATGGGGTTATTTTCCACTGAAAAAATAATTTCCCCTTTTTTTCCAGAAAATTTTATAATTTTTCCCTGGATAGTTTTTCAGAAAAAAAATAAAATGTTAGATGGTGCATTTATGCCTAATTTAGTTGATTTTCATTAATTTCCAATGGGGTTATTTTCCACTGGAAAAATTTGAAATTTTATTACCATGCGCCCCTGACTTTCCTCTTTTTTTCCAGAAAATTTTATAATTTTTCCCTGGATGATTTTTCAGGAAAAAAATAAAATGTTAGTTGATGCATTTATGCCCAATTTAGTTGATTTTCATTAATTTCTAATGGGGTGGTTTTCCACTGAATAAATTTGAAACTTTAGTATGATACGCCTTTGACTTTCCTCTTTTTTTTCAGAAAATGTCATAATTTTCTCCTGGATAGTTTTCCAGAAAAAAAATAAAATGTTAGATGGTGCATTTATGCCTAATTTGATTGATTTTTATTAATATCCAATGGGGTCATTTTTCATTGGAAAAATTTGGAATTTTAATATGATACGCCTCTGACTTTTCTCGTTTTGTCTAGAAGATTTTATAATTTTCCTCTGGATAGTTTTCCAGAAAAAAAGTAAAATGTTAGATGGTGCATTTATGCCTAATTTAATTGATTTTCATTAATTTCCAATGGGGTTAATTTTCACTGGAAAAAATTTGAAATTTCAATATGATACGCCCGCACCTAAAAGTGCGCCTTCGCAGCTTGGAATGTAAATAACTATAGTTTAATTCAATTTCAATTCTTAATATTGCGGATTAGTAGCTATTTTCAGACACACAATTAGTTCTTCTTACTAATTTTATAGTACTGTAAAAAAATAAGATTTTTTTCGTTTTATCCCGAAAAGGAAGGCAAGAAGGTTTTTTTTCTGAAAATGTTCTTACTGAAAATATTTATTTATTTATATTTTGGGCTAGGGGAAAGATTCAGACTTGCGGGTTTCACCAGATTCCTTATTTTTTCATCCTCTTTCTATCTAAATTATAAAAAAAGCATTATTATATTTGAAATCTCCGAGAAAAAATAGAAAATTGTCGACTTATAGGCACAGCGCCCCCTAGCGGCAACAAAACAATTCAATTTTGTCATTTTTTTTATGCAGTTCATTAAACAGAGAAAAACTCTTCCAAATGACACCCGATTCATTCAAATCGGTTGAAAAACAAAAAAGTTATATAACTTTTGTTCCTAACAAGTTTGAACCTTCGCCCATTTCTTATTTGAAGAGTTAGGGCTAAAAATCCTCAACAAATTTTTTTCGTAATTTCATCACGATTTCAATAATCATATTTTTAGGATAACTTAAGTGAGCGTTTTTTGAAGATAATTACAGTATTACGTTTTCGAGTGTTCGTTGCGCCCTCTAGCGATCAACTTACTTGAAAACTATTTCCAGCAATTTTTCATGGCCTATTTAATGAAAAAAAAAATTTACTTGGAAGCTCTAGGACTAATAGTTCCTGAGATATAGCCGGAGTCCTTTCTTATTTGAACACCCAGAACATTCCAAAAAGTGTTCAAACTTGGTTATTGTGACTGCTGAATTCTTGTTGGCTAAAAAATATAACTTACCAATATGAAGAACTATACTTCTTGCCATCCAATGTTGCCACAGCCCTAAACAATTTGTCCTCTCTGATGATTGAATAGGTGGGAACTTTTAATTTATTTTTCCCACAATACACTATTAGTTTGCTTTTTGGTAAATCTGGATCCTTAGGAAAATTGACTCTTATAAATGCACATTTCAGTTCGTAAATATTTGAATTATCAAAATCCAATTTAATTTTTTTGTTTGAAATATTGTTAAACATATCTGGAGTTACATCTCGTCGGCCTAACATGCCTTTTGATTGGAATTCTAGCTGTTTTTGGCGGCAATAATCTCCAAGATTCCATATTGAACTTAAAAAAAAAAACAATTACAATGGTTTTTATTCAAAAAGCAAAGAGAACCAACAAAGAATTACCAAATTTGCTCCAAAGTCTGACACTCCAAGAACCGTTTTCCACGAGGTGTTTCCTGTAATTCTTTCAGCATGTTTTGTACACAGTATTTTGTGTTGCTAGGCGAATTGTCATAGTCAATAGCTAATTTTAAATAGTCAGTTATAACATCTTCTAAATTTTTTAAGCCTTGTGGACAAAATATGGAGCAGTTGCCTTCAGCTGTTCTTGCTACCATTACACTGCTTGCACCACAGTTTTGTTTGAATTTCAAAATATCAGTGTAGCGGTCTATTTCCCTTGAACCACCACTAAAATGTGTGTACTTAGGATATAAATTTCTAAACGAGGAATAAGGAGTTGCTTACTTTGCAATTACAGGAATGTCGACTTCTTGTGCAATTGCCGCTATAGCAGTATTCCTATTCCAATGCTGTGGCCTTTCATATTTTGTCCTTCCATGAATTGCAATTGCAGCTATACCAGTGGACGCCAAGTCTTTGACTAACTTAATTGTGTCTTCCACGCTTTCAAAAACCCTTATTTTACATGTTACAGGAACTTTTACATTTTTTACTAAAATTGAGAGGATTGCTTTGGCCTTTTCTGGTTGAGTTAGAAGGGCGGCACCCATACCGCCCTTTAGGGAGAACTCTTTAGGGCATCCCATGTTGATATCTATACCTGCTATGTCGTTTTCTCTAGAGGAATTAATAATACTAATGTATTGAAAGGCAAAATAAAAACTCTTACATCATTTTCCCAACTTTTAGAGCTCTCTGTGGGTCGCAGGTTCCTATTTGTACAACTACTCTGTCCTTTTCTGCAGCACATGTTCGGAATACCACTGTACCATCAGAACGGTCTATGTAATCAATTGTACCAAGTGCATCTGGAAAAGATTTAGTTAACTGCTCAAAAAAATTTCTCTATTATTTTGAAGGCTTTTTTAAAGTAGCTTCAACAAAATTTTATACCATGGGGGATTTCTTGTAAAGTTGGAATATTTTTCATGGAAGGGCATATTTATTTTATAGTTTTAGTAAGAACTATAAGGCAGTTTTCAAAACAGTACAGTTTAGTGAATAGTGATCACAGGTTATGATTATTTGAGTAGTTCAATATGAAAAGATATATAGGCATTTCATAATTCACTTACCATTAACTCGTCTTACTGATTTCAACAATTTCCAATCTATGAGTTCTTCCGAATAAACAATATCAGCTCCGTATTGTAGAGACAACAAGCGCATTGGTAAAGTCCCCACCCGAACCATGGGTGCCAAAATTATTTTATTATCATAGTTGAGGCGGTCTGAATGTTTTGTCATAATTTTCAATGAATATTATTGTGATTAATAAAATAATGTATACTGTAGACAATTTTTTTACACAAATATTTTTTTGAGGTTATTTTTTCATGACTGATGAGGGAGGATCAGCTGAAAATGAAAATGGCATGTTCCGATAAAACTGTCAGTACTGGAACTCACGCCGGTCCCCCGGTCCGATATTTTTTTTCAGGGGCGAGTTCAGGAATGACACACCCAATACACCTTTTCACGTCGCTCCGGTTTAAACTAACAGGTTACAAAACGGTTAGGAGCGGTATGTCAAGTGATGACATTACTGAAAATGCCACTTGAAAACGAACGGTTAAAAAAATGTAAAAGTACGGTTTGTTAAGCTGGGTACGCATATGAGCACGAACGCGAATGAAGCAGCCCGAGGACGCATGAGCATACGTATGTGTACGTCTGAACGAGGCGTGCAAATTTGTTTGAACCCGCATGCATTTGGCCTCGACCCGATCCATTTGTTGGCGGTACATAAAAGTGAGGCATCTGCTCGTGCGCTGCTCATGTGTGCTCAGTGTGGATGGAAATTTTAAAAAATTCATTTCGAGGTCGAGGCAGTCCACGTGTTGTTTTGAGATGAAAGCGATTAAAAATTTAAATTAATGTAGGATTTTTATCATTGTCTAGAGGTATTTTGGGGCAAGCAGAAAATCAAACGTAACGGTCCATTGAAAATATAAGGAATTTTAATAATATTTACGAAGAATAGATAGATTAGATGGTAGATAAATACGTCATTGATAAATATACAATTGGCACGGAAAATCACAATAACAACTTCACAACTAAGTATAGGTACGTCTTCACGACCACGTCTTGGTCGTTTTACGGCTTTAGAAATATACGTCTTGATAATTAATTGAACGTCGCGTCTTAAATTTACCCCGTCTAGGAAAAATCTGGCGGCCGTCTTCCGCCTTCAGCGTTCAATTAACGATTGACCCCTCTTTTTAATATTATTCGTTCGTGGCTACTTCCCCACTGGCGCCGTGCCATTCGGTGCCACCCTGTTACCGTCGCGAGTCGCTCTCGCTCGTATCTTTTATCCTCTTCTATCAACCTATATAGAGATATTCCCTTTTCGTCGCCCTGTTGCTACCCTGAGATCCAGCGCGCCTCGCCTATTCAACCGTGACGGTACAGTCTATGTAAAAATAAATAGGTACAGTCGGAAGAGAATTATTTGGAGAAATAAAGAAATATAATATTTACATAATTACAAACGGAAAAAAATACTTATACCTATAAATACAAACACAGATACCGATTAGGTTTCGTACCCTACAATTATAATTTTTTTTTGCAGATACATTCAGAGAATTAAAAGACCTTTAAAACAAGGTATCACATGACCCATAGTGCCATTTAAGATTTTGAGGTTAGGGTAGCTACGGCCGGAGGGGTGATTCAGGAAGACCTGAAAAGTACCTTGTTTTGGTTCCCCCTTCCCACCCTCCAAATGGGTTTTTCATTTCTTTTTTATCGATTACCGTTTTCAAGATATAGGCCATTGACAGGTTTCGTTGGGACAACCGGTAAGTACATTTTGTGATATTTTTTTTTTCAATTTTGTGAATTTTGTAAATTTATCCATTTTGTGAATTTTTTTAAGTTTTTTGAATCTTACGAATTTTTTTCATTTTTGAAAATTTTGTGTTTTTTTTTTTTAGTTTTGTGAATTTTGTAAATTTATCAATTTTGTGAATTTTTTCAAGTTTTTTGAATTTTGTAAATTTTTTTTACTTTTGAAAATTTTCTGATTTTTTTTTATTTTAAATTTTGTTTTTTTATAAATTTTGTAAATTTATCAATTTTGCAATTTTTTTCAAATTTTTCGAATTTTATGAATTTTTTTCACTTTTGTGAATTTTTCGGATTTTTTTAAGTTTTTTGAATTTTGTGATTTTTTTCTCATTTTTGTGAATTCTTTTACTTTTGAAAATTATTTTAATTTAGGTGAATTTTGTGATTTTTTTTTTTCAATTCTAGAAATTTTTTTGAATATTGTAAATTTATTAATTTTGTGAATTTTTTCAAGTTTTTTGAATTTTATGAATTTTTTTCACTTTTGATAATTTTGATTTATTTTTTCTAATTTTATGGATTTTTATGAATTTCGTAAATTTATGAATTTTGTGAACATCTTTCACTTTTGTGAATTTTTTTCATTTTTGAAAATTTTGTGTTTTTTTTTAAATTTTGTAAATTTTTGTGAATTTATAAATTTTGTGAACTTTTTTTTCACTTTTGAAAATTTTGTGGATTTTATCAATTTTGTGAATTTTTTTCACTTTTGTAATTTTTTTTTACTTTCGAAAATTATATGAATTTTGTAAATTTTGTAAATTCTGTGAATTTTTTTCTCTTTCGAAAATTATGTTAATTTATGTGTTTTTTTTTTTAATTTTGTGAATTTTCATGAATTCTGTAAATTTATTAATTTTGTAAATTTTTTTAAGTTTTTTAGGATTTTCAAGTTTTTTGAATTTTATGATTTTTTTTCACTTTTGATAATGTTGATTTATTTTATTTAATTTTATGGATCTTTATGAATTTCGTAAATTTATCAATTTTGTGAACATCTTTCACTTTTGTGAATTTATTCATTTTTAAAAATTTTGTGTTTTTTTTTAATTTTGTAAATTTTTGTGAATTTATCAATTTTGTGAACTTTTTTCAGTTTTGAAAATTTTGTGAATTCTTTTTCACTTTTGAAAATTTTGTGGAATTTATGAATTTTCTGAATTTTTTTCACTTTTGTAAATTTTTTTTACTTTCGAAAATCATGAATTTTGTAAATTCTGTGAATTTTTTTCTCTTTCAAAAATTATGTTAATTTATGTGTTTTTTTTTTTAATTTTTTGAATTTTCATGAATTTTGTAAATTTATTAATTTTGTAAATTTTTTTAAGTTTTTTGGGATTTTCAAGTTTTTGAATTTTATGAATTTTTTTCACTTTTGAAAATTTTCTGTTTTTTTTTTTTAATTTTATGAATTTTTGTAAATTGTGTAAATTTATCAATTTTGTGAATTTTTTTCACTTTTGTAAATTTTTTTTACTTTCGAAAATTATATGAATTTTGTAAATTCTGTGAATTTTTTTCTCTTTCGAAAATTATGTTAATTTATGCGTTTTTTTTTTCAATTTTGTGAATTTTCATGAATTTTGTAAATTTATTAATTTTGTAAATTTTTTTTTGGGATTTTTAAGTTTTTTGAATTTTGAATTTTGTGAATTTTTTTCACTTTTGAAAATGTTCCTTTTTTTTTAATTTCATGAATTTTTGTAAATTGTGTAGATTTATTAATTTTGTGAATTGTATTATAAATTTATTAATTTTGTGAATTTTTTCAAGTTTTTTGAATTTTATGAATTTTTTTCACTTTTGTAAATTTTTTTTACTTTCGAAAATCATATGAATTTTGTAAATTCTGTGAATTTTTTTCTTTTTCGAAAATTATGTTAATTTATGTGTTTTTTTTTTAATTTTGTGAATTTTCATGAATTTTGTAAATTTATTAATTTTGTAAATTTTTTTAAGTTTTTTGGGATTTTCAACTTTTTTGAATTTTATGAATTTTTTTCACTTTTGAAAATTTTCTGTTTTTTTTTTTTTAATTTTATGAATTTTTGTAAATTGTGTAAATTTATCAATTTTGTGAATTTTTTTCACTTTTGAAAATTTTGTGATTTTTTTTCACTTTTGTGAATTTAATTTTCACTTTTTAAAATTATGTGAATTTTGGGTTTTTTTTTTTTTTAATTTTATGAATTTTTGTGAATTTTTTAAATTCATCAATTTTGTAAACTTTTTTTACTTTTGAAAATTTTGTGGATTTCATGAATTTTTTGAATTTTGTGAATTTTTTTTACTTTTGAAAATTTTCTGATTTTTTTTTTATTTTAAATTTTATGTTTTTTTATAAATTTTGTAAATTTATCAATCTGCGAATTTTTTCAAATTTTTTGAATTTTGTGAATTTTTTCAAGTTTTTCGAATTTTATAAATTTTTTTCACTTTTGAAAATTTTGTGGGTTTTCTCAAGTTTTTTGAATTTTGTGATTGTTTTCTCATTTTTGTGAATTTTATTTACTTTTGAAAATTATTTTAATTTATGTGAATTTTGTGATTTTTTTTTTCAATTTTATGAATTTTTGTGAATATTGTAAATTTATTAATTTTGTGAATTTTTTTTAGTTTTTTGAATTTTTTCAAGTTTTTTGAATTTTATGAATTTTTTTCACTTCTGAAAATTTTGTGATTTTTTTTTAACTTTGTGAATTTTTGTGAATTTTGTAAATTTATCAATTTTGTGAATTTTTTTAAAGTTTTTTGAATTTTGTTTTTTTTTTTTACTTTTGAAAATTTTTCGATTTTTTTTTTAATTGTATGTTTTTTTTTTGTAAATTTTGTAAATTTATCAATTTTGCGAATTTTTTCAAATTTTTTGAATTTTGTGAATTTTTTTAAGTTTTTTGAATTTTATGATTTTTTTTTACTTTTGAAAATTTTGTAATTTTTTTTTCTAATTTTATGAATTTTTGTTAATTTTGTGAATTCATCAATTTTATAAATTTTGTCGACTTTTTCATCTTTGAAAATTTTGTCGATTTTGTGAATTTTGTAAATTTTGTGAACTTCGATATGTAAAATCATAAAAATGTATAGAAATCGCAAAAAATTAAAATCATAAAAATTTAGAGAATTATTCACGAAAATGACAAAATTACAAAGAACTAAAAAAGTCATACAAATTTAGAAAATCACAAAATTTTACGAAAATCACTTAAATGTATGAAAATTGAAAATCACAGGAATTCAAAGAAACTAGAAATTCGGGAAATCATAAAAACTAATGAAAATCATAAAAATCTAAAAAAATGATAAGAATTCAGAAAATCATAAAAATCCATGAAAATTATTCAGTCATTTAAAGGTTATTTCAAATTTTATGGTTATTTTAAAGTTAT